TTCATAAAGGAATCTGAAAGAAAAAGTAACATAACAAGATTAAATTGCCATCTCCCCTCTCCAAAACCATCACGAAAACTTGTCAGTTATTTTATAGAATATCACTATGTATGAAAAGTGTAAATCGAAGTACTTTATAGGCAGAAACATTCGAACTCTAAGCATGTGTGTAGGTGCGCGTACTGTTGCGCTTCACCCCACCAGCTAAACCCATCCATAAACAAGACATGGTAGGCTAGTCACCGAGGCACTTCTTCTAACACAGATTAGTGTTAAACCCTGGTGCCACAGCGAAGAAAGCACTAGTTGAATTGTGTTAAGGTGCTCATACAAAAGCTAAGCGCAGGAACAACAGAAGGGCAAGGGCGGGAAAAAAGGCAATCAAATCATGTTGGCTGGTGGAAGAGGACATAAAAAGGGAAAAGAAGAAAGTAAAGAGGGGATTGAGGGAGAAGAGAGAGGAGGCAAAGCGGAGCGAGAAGGCGGCGTGTAAGCAAAAGCAGGGTATTGATCTGGCGCTAGCGACAACAGCCTCCCTCAGGCCGGAGGTAGAGAGGGTGTGCACAAGCCAACCAACATTCTTCTGCGGTACCCTTTCAACACGCCAGCATAATGGTAGCCAGAAACTGTACATCCTCAAGCGATCGTCCAGCTTCGCACAGTCAGCAATTCAAGCGGGCTCGTTCCGCGGGACTTTTTCAGCACATTGTGCGTCAGAGAATAGCGACTTTTCTCGAAAAAGAGGCCTAGCATCTCAACTCCACCAAAGACATGGCAAACATTATCTATCTATCGCACTATGAGATCGTTAAATTTGCTCATGTTGCGTACTAGACGCTTGCCGGGCCGCGATCGAAATTGCATAGATGAAAGAGCAAAGAACACAAGCTGTACATTTTAGAGTGAAGCAGGAGCAAAACTAAATATAAGCGAAGATCTGAATAACCGATGAAACATAACAGCAGATACTTGGCATGCTAGGTCTGCACCTTCCACGAAAGTTAATTGTGTAAAGAAGATAAAACTCTTTATTTATGTACAGAACACTATCCCGCGTGACAAACAAACATTGCAGCTTTAAAAACAAGAAATGCACAGGATTTTTGTTTACAGGGAGTAATAACACAATCTTCGATAAGTGATTCAGTGAAATTTATGATAATGAAGAGGTTACAATGACACAAAACAACAATCCTTAAACGATCACAGGAAACCAGTAATAGTAGGTGGCATGGAAGACTTGAGGGTGGATTTCAAGGCAATTCTATCCGATTGCGGCAGTTCAGTTATATAGTCAGTTAAGGCGACCCCAACGAAGGAGTGTTCCCCAAGAATTGTCAGACTCGCGGGACACAGTAGCATCTGCAGAAATAACTTTTGACAGTAGAAAAGATAATGTGAAAAGTTGCGCCATATGATATAAGTGTAACTAGTGGTAACTGGATTTAGCCAAATTATGTTTATCCTTTAAGAATGTCTTGTAAGAGTTGAGCGAATGAATATGAGCAACGAAGTTGCACCAAATAGTTATCCATTCCAGACCTATACAAAGAAAAACTCGAGACAGCTCAGATCAGCTGGTACAAGAGGCGATAATTACGGCTAATCATTTCTCAGATTTGCCTAGGTGGATATGCAGCAAGTGACTTAGTTACGGGATTTGAGAGCATTATGCAAAATAAAATACTTCGATCTTGGAAACATGTCGAAATGAGTTGAAAAGAAGTTGAAGTCTTTGACAAATGGGGTGCCACATGGCTCACACTAATTGAACCATTTGCAAATGTCCCTTATTCTCATTCCAGCTCATTCATTGTCTCAATAGATAAGGAAACAAAACCTATGAATACTAGCATCAGCACAAAAAAAGAAAATTTGCTTAAAATGAAAAACAGGGAGCACTAAGCATAAAAAACCTTTTTTGAAAATGTGACTTTATCTACACGACTGCGGCAGGGAAAACAAAAGAAATGTCATCTGAACAAACGCAGCTCTCATTAGTGGCGGACGTGAGTGGCTTCCCGCAGAAGT